ACGGTCAATATGATCGTAGCCTGTGATGTATTTTGTTTGCTAACTATATCAAGATAATCAAAGCGCCTCTGAGCGATGTCTTGAGTAAAATTCTTGCACAGCTCGAACAGCCCCAGAGCGATAGTTTAAAAATTGTCCCACCAATTTAAACTGCTCTAAAGCAATGACTTAAGAATTTCTCAATTTAAACAGCCACAGAGCGATAGTTTAAAATTGTCTTCACAACTAAACCGCCCCAGAGCGATAATCTAAAAATTGTCTTCACAATTTGACCGCCACAGAGTGATAGTTTAAAAATTGTTCCAACAATTTAAACCGCCCTAGAGCAATAATCTAAAAATTGTCTTCACAAATTAAACCGCCCCGAGTGATAATCTAAAATTGTTCACAATTTTAACCGCCTCCGACACAATGCCAGTCGCTCGCACGATGCACCCTGCAACGGACACACAAATATCGAGAAGAACACATAATTTAGTACAACTAAAATTAACCAATCACGCCATAATGAACGCACGAAAATCCACTGCCTTATGGCAGACTTAGTCTTGAACACCTCCAAAATAAAAGCAAAGCAAAATTACAAAGTTCTTAAGTATATGAAGTGCTATCAACCCTCTATTCGTGATCATGTGGCCCGACATCAGGCTGGGGATGATGGACTTTGTCAGAAGTGTGTGCAGGATCCTACACGGCGTCCGCAGTTTCACTGCATTTGTGTTAGAGCCCTTGAACTCGTCGCCATGGTGCTCTGGGCGACAGATGGCTTGGAAGGCTGCCTGGTAGTGGAAGTCTGCGATGTACTGTCTCTCCGTCATTGTCATGTGTGTGGGGTCGAGCCCCATGGCTTGGGCAAAGCCGTCGTAAGACAGTACACACTACTCACCCCCAACATGAACTGCACGTATGAGCGACTCTGCTTGCTCTCTGGAATGACATGGGAGAAACTGGTGTAGAACTCCATGCAGAGCTCGCGATAGATGAGCTCGTCAGTCGCCAGGAGGAGGCGCCACTGTGGATGACTGAGCACCCCTGACATCGCTTCCCGATACCTGAACATGTTCAACTCCAACACCCATTGAGGCACCGACTCACTATACCTCCAATGTTGGAATTTTGCACCATACTTCTCATGGTTCACCAGGTAGTGAACATACGCGTGATCCGTGTTAACCATCCTGGAGACTCAAGTAGGATCGAGGGGGAAGTGAAGAGAGGGCGAGAGAGTCAAAAAATTCACAAAAAAATGGCTGGAGGGGGGTCATCGGAGCCTTGTCGAAAGCTCGTCGGAGGGTAGCATGAAATCGCCTTACAAAAGAAAATCAGAGCCAAACCTCCCCAAAACTTTGGCGAAGGTTCTCACTGATGCGAGAAGACTGGGTATGTGTTTGGTTTTGGGTTTGGGTGGCCGGAAGTTTCTGAAATCGACGAAAAACAACAAAAAATCGCTATTTAACTACGAAGTTCAGAGGATTCCGACGAAGGGGCGGTCGTGAAGTGAAGATGAGAGGTTCATGCCCCTTTTATAAGCAGATCCCGCAGTTCACAGATGGAGGGACTAGTTCACGGTCGCTAAGATCGTGAACATAAATCCCAGACCGTGAACTATGGTAAAACGGTGAGTTTTTTTTTCTTCAAAGAGATAAAACAAAGACTAGACCTTAGGCATCGGTTGACGGTTATATAACCATGCATAACAAATTTTATATAACAGAGTGAGATAAGAGAAATTTTGTCGAGCAAAGCGGCCAACCTAGTGGTTCAAAGGGATCTCCACTTCTTCGTGGTGGGATTGAGTGCGAGAACCATTTAGACCACCCGAAATTGGAGAGAAGCGATAACATAAAATGGAAGAGGGAGATGAAGTTATTTGTTGTGTTTTTATTGTAAGTGAATAGTCGATAAAGTAGTGGAGACTGGAGTACGAGTAAGAAATCGAAAAAAGCACACTTGTCACCGCATATTTCTTCGCGGGTTAGTTGCGGTCGCTAAATTTTTGTTTCACTGGTATATTTGGCACTCAACTTTTTATTTTTATGGATACCGAAGAGGATTAGAGGGATGGCGAAGAGTGAAGTTTTATTGAACATTGTCTGCTTGGTATAGATCGTACCTAAGGCACTGGACAGACGTGGTATGGTCTTGACCGTATAGCATATGGTCTTGTCCATGGTAAGTGTTCTAACTAGGGGTGTTCAAATGGTTACCATGGTAATTAGTAATTACCAACCCAAACAAGCTCAAATTCTATTAACCATGGAATATAATATCATAACCAAACCATCCAAACTAATACAACGACCAAATTAACCAAACTAAAATTTAATCGGTTTGGTTAATTGGTTAACCAGACTAACTAATATAACATCACATTATCATTAAGTGAGAAGTTTTTCGGTTAATGCATCAATTCACAATTTATATGAATAAAACATTATGATGAACACATAATTATAGTTAAACCTTACAAAAATACATGCAACTAATACAATTATTTTACAGTCAATAGAAGTATTCATCTAACAAAAATATATGTCAATGGTATGAAGTTAATTAATTATTGTGATTGTGTGAATTGAATTAATCTCTTAACAACTATCATAGGTTGAAAAGACGTTCCTTTCAAGTTTTCATATATCATGGTCTATGCACTACAAATACAAATATACAGTATTGAAACAATATTGAGCTTTATTGTTGATGAACCTAAAAGGAAGAAATGTTTGGCTCTTGAGTGGTTATGCCAACTGTCAAGTATTAAGTATATGTATATAATATATACTAGATATATGAATAATTACTTAACTGGTTAATTTGGTTTGATTGGTTAGGAACCAAACAAGCGAAAAACTTTAACCAAACCAATCCAATTATCCAAATTAATCCAAATACTACCGGTTACCACGGTAACCGCACCGTTTGAACACCCCTAGTTCTAACATGTCGGTCTGATCTCGGACCGCACCATTTTCCACAATTACTTAAGGGCTTGGTCTGGTGGTAATACCACTAGTCTTGAATCTAGAGGTCTTAGGTTTAAATCCTTTAAGTAGTACCTTCTCCAAAACCGTTAAGTCTTTTTATAAGGTTGATATAAATTTGTTTTTTAAAGGTTAATACCATTGGAAAACCCAAACTATCCAAAAGTGTCATTTGTGTCCCGAACTATTCAATATTTCATTTATGTCCCAACGTATGATAGTTGTGTGTCATTTATGTCATGACGATTTTGTTGACCGTTATAGTTATCAGTTAACCAGACGTAAATCAACTTTAACATTGACTTTTGTTGACGTGGCAGCCACTTAGATGCCACGTCAATGACAACTCAATATTTTTAATTTATTTTGAATATTTTTAAGTGACATAGAAAAATAAATAAATAAGATTTAATAATTTTAAATGAAAAATAAATAAAAATAATATATGCCACATCAATGATGACTGGATTTTTTGTTAAATATTGTCAGTCAAACTCGGTCAACACTAACAGAAAAATATTCAGAACATAAATGTCATATTGAATAGTTCGAGACACAAATAACACTTTTTCGATAGTTCGGATTTTCATGTGGTATTTGTATTTTTTTAATTATGTGCTATTTAAAAAATTCGAATCTGAGCCCTTCAAGTTTAGACCCAGTTATAATATCACTGGACCTCCGAGTAAAAAAGACCAGTAAGTTTTAATTCGGTGAAATAAAAAAAATTATAGAGGAGAAATAAAAATATTAAAACTCTCAAAAGGAGAAACGAATGTAAAGCCAGCAAAGTTGGCGGGGATGAAGCTTTTTCTAAAAGCCTTTATATATTTTTAAAGATTCTTAACTACAATAACTGGGTTCTTTTGATGCACTATTGCACTTTGAAGATATTCATCGACTGCAAGTGATGGAGGGCAAGAGAGGCGGAAGATCTCTCACGTTGACACCAAACGGGAGCATTCGGTACACGACTTCCAAGCCGCAAATCATTTGGATGGGTTCATGAATGATGAATCAGATGGCTTCTCCTCACGAATCTGTCCTCCACGGTATGGAAGTTCACCCTGTGACCCTCACTAGCACTTGTAGTTTCAGCTTGTTCATGTCTTCCACCTCTATTCCAGTGACGACGCTATTGGATGCCCTTACTGGTTGTGGCGCATTCCAATCACAATCAGTCTCCTCCTAACGGCCACCTTGAAATCCTTAACGAGGATGAAACCACCTTCATAGTTCCAAATTAGACGTAGGAGAAAGTGGTCTAACGAACTCATTTGTTGGAAAAAGAGATAGGACGAGGGTATTTGTACGAAAGCCCGAGACCGGGTGATTAGGATTGTGATAGAGTCGTGAACGAAGTTCACTTTCCGTAAAGAATATTTTCACCCTCAAAAATCCTAGGATTAGAGGAAATTTCTTCGTGGGATAAAACTACCACCACTTTAGAATCTAAGCTTAAGAAACTAAAGCACACTTAGAGCTTTTGATGGATGAAGATTGAAGAATGAATATTTTTTGGTCTATGTTTTTCTGACCACCACCACTAGCCGAGTCCCCAAATATATAGAGGACCAACCGTTACTTTGAAGGGTCACAACACTTCAATTTGGTCGTTACCTTCATGAAACATTGCATTATTTGGACTTTGGCCAACAGTTGTGTCCTTCCAAGTAAATGGCGGCCCCTGATGGTGATGATCTCATGCATAAACAGCCAAATCATCATACATTGCATTGTTTGGATAAATTGCTTAGAGTGATGTGTTGTTCCATTCCAAAATCAAACTTATCCAATTAAACACAAGCAATTGCCATCACGTGGAGATAAATGGGAAGTTGGTTTGTTTAATTCAAATGAAAAGTTGGGTAATTCAAATGGAATAGAAATTCACATAACTTGATCCATAAATTAACCAACTTTATCATTATAATTCCCAACATCATCAAGCTTCTCCAAGAGTGAACAATATTGAATCGATCCTACAGATAAAACGATCAAGTATATACATGTAAACATGCGCCTTAAAATGAATGAGTCACATACAAATCAAGCTAAGAATAACACATATTTCCAGTCTGGGCCGCCACAAAAGCCATAGCAAAGTTTTAAGGTTACAACAATTAAGGAGCTCTCTTTCTTGGGTTCCTTGTGGGTTGTGCTTATTATTCTGAACAACTATTGTGAATGTGAAGGAGCTTTTCTACCACATTGCTTGAGCTAATTTGTGAAACAAGGGGAGCGGGTATAAAATGACAGCTCTTCTGCAGGCCCAATTCATACCTTTCTCGGCCTTTTGGCTAAGATCAAGTGTAGTATCTGTTCTTATCAGTTTAATATCTGATACGTGGGCCAATGGCCCACACGATATTAAATTAATTTTTATAGGGGGAGAAGTCCACTACTGGAGTTTGCTTCGGGGGCTTCTCACGTGTCGCCCATGCGTTGCACTATTGCAAGGGCCTGGCGCACCCCACCAATACTAGTCGAATAGTTAGATTGGGGCCTGGAATTTTCTGCTTGTATTATGCTGTTGGCCTGCATTCGTGGAGTCTCAAGTCTCAACTGCAAAGGACTGTGGTGACCAAATCTTTTGGTAATCCAGAGTTGTCAAGATCCCCTAGGCCCTACGAACATGGCTCCGAACATGCTCTTGCAGGAGTTGCAGAAGGTGAAGGCTACCAATAGGAGCTGGGAGCTCAAGAGGACGAGGAAATGGGCGATGGGGATTCCCATTTCCCAGCATGACCAGATAAGATTATTACGATGATCACCGCTATGATGACGTTTAGCAAGCTGTGGAGCTCGTCCACTGCTGTTTTTGTGTCGTTCAAGGACAGCACGAGGGCTTGCCTGTCCCTGAATGCATTCACCTGTTAAACAAAGTTTAGTGGGCAATTATAACGTCTAAGAAATTCTGAAAAGAGGCAGGGGTGATGGTTTGATATTCATATATTGTTCTCACCAGCCGGCAGCCAGTCAGTGAGCAATGATTTGCTTATCCCTCCATTATCCGAAGCTGGTCCAAAGTGATGCATGGCTCTCAATAGCCTCTTCTTTAGCCATGAAAAATATGCCTGGCCATTGAATATGAATGACAGAGCAACGGTTATCTAATGGCTGATTAGATAACTTACCGACTCATTAGTTAAGAATCTTGGGGGAAACTGAAGAGCTTACTGGGATCCTGGGGCAGCCACATTGGTGAAGATCTTGGCTACTTCCGTTGCTTGGCAGTTGGCACACACTCCTTGTATGCAAGGATGGCTCATCACCTTTCACATCCGAGTCAAGCACATGCTCATCCAGAGTAGACAATGAACCTGATCAACCAACCAGAGAGCAATTTCCCACCCAGGAGTGTCAAAGCCATGAACTTCCATTTCCATAAAGGAAGGTCGCAAAGACAAAGAGTTTGTTTTCTCATGGAAGGTATGCCGCGTGTGGAAGGTAAGGCTAAGAGAGATGAGATGAGGCAGCTGCCACATGAGCATTGCGAAAATACTGGTTTTAAGGTGGTTGTTGTGTGAGACATCTTCATGGTTATCCTCGTCTTCTTCTTTGCCGCAGTCTCCTTCTGGAGATCTGATGTCATTGGAGTTGATCATACTGTAGTCTTCATCTTCGATTAGTCTGGACTTGGTTCTGATCATGAGTGACCTCCATGGGTTACGACGAAAGGATACATCATCGTGGGACGGTTGGCTGTCTTTATCTGCTATGCACCACATGGCTTCCTCTGCAATTTCGGCGAAGGATACCTTTTGCTTTGCTGGGGTTTGCAGCAGCAGCAGCAGCAGCCCCATTGTTTCTGTGCATGGAGTGCAATTATGAATACCATACAACTAACTGTTCTTCCTGGCCACAGCTGTGATTCAAGAGGGCTTCTTTTTCTTCATGTTGCTGCTTCAGTTTGGCACGAGAACAGCAAGACTTCAAGGCTTTCTCAATCTCTCCATTGGAGGAAATGCTCTTGAGTTGAAGGTTAATGGTTTTCTGAAAACTGATTCAGATCATATATTATAGAGTAACCCACATAAGGTCTAGAAGACACTGCTGCATGATTACCATCTAATGAAATGTACATGAAACGCAAATTGAAGACTGTCCATGATCGAAGAATCTAAGCCGTGGACTTGAAAACGTAGAGAGTTGACGACTGCAATATGAAGTGTAAAGCTACGGCAAGCAAAAAAGGGTACTAATTTATAAGAGGGTTCCACATCAGCTGAATAGACCAAAGATGCTAGTGCTACTAGCAACTAGTGATTATCAACTTAATGCCTATTATAATATCAGGTGTTATTTCTAGTAACAGCATATGTTGTCTTTTGGGCAATTCCCGACAGTGCACAGATAATCCAAGTTATACTTCCTCCACTGAACAATTTTTACTTAATATGCACCTACATTGATTCAGTAATATGATCTTTTCAAGTCAAGGAAAATACAACATATTCTCAAAGTTCCGGTTCTGGGGCACAAATTAATCAAATACCGGAGTTACCTTTTTCCAGTGTGGAATACATCTGTTACAGCTTCCAGCCTCATCATCATGCCTCGAGAAGTGTTCTTGAAGGGGACCTGAGTCTTGGGTGCAAGCAAAAGGGTTACAAAACAAAAAATGAACAATTAAGTTTCCGCTCTTGCTAACTTCGAGCTGTATATTTCCTCGGAATACATGGAGTTAGCAAGTTTACAATTATTTCCAGCGCGAGATCGTGCATATCACTCTCATAAGCTGAACAACAGTTAAACATTAGTACAAGTTGTTGAAAGAGAAAACTGGTTACTAACTTGACAAACAAAAATGTAAACACATAAATCAATTGTTTCTCAAGGGTGAGATTTTACTACAACAAACGTTATGTACAAAGTTTTCTCACTTCTTGCAACCTCAAACTCCCTTTCTCAGCCCGTTGCAGCTACTACTTTCCTAGATACCTTGTGTTTCACCCTGTCTTCTCCTTCCTCCGTGACCTGTTGAAGGAATTATCATCGAACGACGATGAACCTTTTTCAGAATATGCAGAGTGGAAATGTGGAAATTTCAGTATCAGTGTATGAATTTTGAGTTTACCATCCCCTGTAAGTTCTGTAGAAGTTCCAAAATTTCAGAGAATTCAGGCCTCAAACATGGGTCTCTGTCCCAGCATCTGTCAAGAAGTTCCACCAATTTGGGATGGGTGTTCTTTGGGATGGATGGTCTCAGCCCCTATATAATAATGTTAGATCAGAAAAGCAAGCTTATCATGTGGCTTGGGCTAATAATGGTCTTATTTTCTAGTGGTTATATGTAAAGTGTAATCATACAAAGAAGGAAAGACTGACAAATGCCTACAGTTTCAGGTGGAAGAAGAAAACCAGAGATTACCTGCTGTACTACGCCAACTGCAGCTTGCAATGGGGTCAAGTTGTCGTAAGGGACCTGACAAGAAGTTACAGAGAAAAATGATAAGCTGTTCAAACTTGAATTCCCCTTACTAAGAAAGTAGATTGTAAAGAATGGCATAAAGAATATGGAACATTGAAGATAAAGGCAGTGGGTACTAGCATTACCTTTCCTGTGAGTAGTTCCCACAGCATAACGCCGAAGCTGAAAACATCAGCTTTGTGATTGTATGGTTTGTGTTCAATAACCTTTTAGAGTGAGAAAAGAAAAATAAAAATCAGTAAGGATAGTGCACGGCAGAAGAGTAGGTTTAGTCGAGTCAAGGGAAAGGGAGAGGAAGCTTCCACCAGTTTGGAAACTAGAGGTGAAAGGTATCACATACCTCCGGAGCCATCCAACGGTACGTTCCAGTTTCTGCAGTCATTACTCCTGAACGATCTTGCACTCTGGCAACACCAAAATCAGCAACCTTGACAACCTGAAGACCAAGTTTTCTGTAATTTTAATGCAGGGCAACGAGATAAGAGTTCTATTGAGGTTCCAGGATATATCTCATTCAAATAATTAACAGAGTTCCCCTTTCAGCCTGCAGGTTTTTTTTTTTAAAGTTTGTGAAGCATCTTCATTTTTCCATTGCTTGGGAGGAGCTCAAGTATGCAATGACACGATTCAAGGAGAAAGGGCACTGCGACATGAAAGTAAATATTATAAAGAAAAGACGGCAAATTGCTCACTCCGTTTTCATCCATTAGAAGATTGGCAGCTTTCAGGTCTCTGTGGATTATGTTATTTCTGTGCAAGTAGTTCATTCCTCTGGATACATCAACTGCTACTCTGAGTAAGGACTGAAGATTAAAACATTCCTTCCTTTTATGCAGATGGTCGTACATGCTTCCACCAGACATAAATTCTGAGTGCAAAAAAATTTACGAAGGGAAAAGAAGATAAAGTGAAAATAAATAGAAATGTCACCCTATTTGTCCACAATCTAACATATAGATCACCAACATATAATCAGCTGATTTTATGAGATATATTCAGTTTTTGTTTACCTGTCACAATACATAGGTTTGGCCTCCTGGTACATGCACCGATGAACTGAACAACATTCTTGTGCCGGACTTTCCTGCAGAGCAAATGGAATAAGTGAAGTTATCATCTGAACCTCAATGCAGCAAACACATGTCGAGGATGGTATGACAAGGGACCATAATGAAGCTAATTAATTTACGTTTAACAAAAATGGTGATTTTAGATTAAGTGCACAGCTTTATCCAGTCTATTTCCTTAAAATTTCATTTGATATCATATTTCAGCAAACGGATAAAATTACAACAAGGAAGAAGAGAACAGGAATAGCAAGGTTATCAAGACGACTAGATGATACTGTGGGGAATTTTCAGGGAAAAGAATTTTACAGTTTACAAACCTCATAATAAAGACTTCTTGAGCGAATTCCTTTTGAAGTTTTTTGCATAGGTGCTCTGCCCTGAAATGCTTGATAGCCACATCTTGACTACAGAAGGTGCCTTTATACCTGCTTCGATAGAGTCATATTAATAATCAACAGTAATAATAGGATCCACTATCCAGTGAACGATGTTGAAGTCATCAAAACTTACGTGTCTCCATAGGGTCCAGATGCAACTTTGTACTCATACTTCAGTAATCTTGCATCAATTTCCCAAACATCAATTGGCACAGTTGGGATGCTCATTTCAGAAGATCTGGGATTCGTTCCTGTTTGGTCTTGCTTCACAACAGGAAAAATTAAATGAGAACTCATGCCGTATTCTTCAGCATTACCCTTACAGCTAAATATAAAAAAAGCTGATTAAGCTCTTGATGAAGTTTCTAATATTGTTCAGTACATTTGCCTTTTTGGTAAGCTTGATTAATCAGGAGAGCTGAAGACTAAAATATTGTGGCTATGGTTTAGTAAGGCAAGAATAAAAAATCAACTAACTTCCCTACTCTGATCTCTAATTAGTGGAGCATCAAGCTGAAGTGGATACCTCAATCTTCGGAATTTCATTTTCCAGCACGACTCTTAGTTTATAAGTCTCCTGTGAATCACAAAAACAGGAGTCGGTGCTGATAAGTATGAAATGATGGTTCACTAGTAGGTGAACAGGTGGTAGAAACAGCACGGCACACATCAAAAGAATTCCAATACCCCACACACAGACTATCAAGATGCTATGACGGAGTAATAGAATACTGTCCAGTTCAAATGATTAAATTTTTCCATATTCAATATGTCCCTGCGCTCTAAAATGAATATTCTAAGCCAACAAGCAAATGAAAATCAAGTTAATCAAGTACTGCATGGACAAGGGTAGAGGTATACCTCAGAGCTCCAATTGTCAACAACAAACACATCTAATGAGTACCCATCTGTGGTGGAAAAAGCATGTGCTTCTTGTATATTTAGGTCAAGCTCAGAGAGTAAGGAAGTTAACTGAAATAAATGGCATGATGGAAGACGAAACAATCAACAGATGAAAGAGAACAGAGATAAAGAATGCTAAAAAGCTCTAGTTAAGAAATCCAGATACCTGACTCAGAAGCTTTGGCTTATCATTCGTGGAAATTGTGATTTCATGCATAAGCCTATAGCAAAGAAAGAATAATGTTTCAGTTAAGAAGTGGGTGCTCAGGAATGACATGGAAATCTTTGAGTATATGGCAAATGTATGATGAAGGATAAGCATACTACAAGACAAAAGAAGTTACAGGTAACTTGGACCTAAGTAATAAAAAAAGAAAGTAATAGCAATAACTCTTTTGAAGCTGCAGCATTGTAAACAACTATCAGAAGAATTGAATCTTCAGAAATATAACCAACTGGCATTCATGATGCATTAAACCAAGGACAGCTACAAGTTCACAAGCAAGAGAAGGCTTCCGAGAATTGTTACCGAGAGTAAATTACACTGCCCGTATCCTTATCTTGAGCTTCATATGCAAGTTCTAGGTCTGGCAATGAACCAAAGGCAGGTGGTGGATGGAGGCTGGGATAATACAAAGAGGCAAATGAGTCGGCAAAATTACCCATTAGAGCAAATCAAATAGCTAGCAGAATATGAATAGCCCATGCCTCTGCTTCAAGGGTTGATCAGAAGATTGAGGTTGCTTTTTCTTGGGAAAGTCAGCATGAGCAGAGTCACCAGAGTTTCCATGGGATGCAGAATAAACCTGCAAAGAGAAAAAAGCATGAAGAAAACCCCTCATGAATCAGCCAAGACAGCCGTATCAAAGCAAACTATCATAGCTTCATTAGATCAACACAATGGAGCATAGTGTTTCATCAGTGAGAATCAATCGCATTTAGTATTTCATTCAGCTATTCGGTATAACCATTAACAAGATTGACAACCCCAATCGCCAAATTCACATGAGGACTACGAAAGTTCATCCTAAAGGCTCCAATATTAGAAGATGGAACTCAAATGACTTCAGTACCGCATGAGTTAACACAGCAAGATCAGCAAAACAGTGCTTGTGATTGTCAATTGGAAGATGAGAAGTCAACTGTTCAGTGAACAGGCAAATAAACGGCAAGTGGAAAAAGCAAGCCCGTTTGGAAGGGGGGAAAGAACGAAAAAGGGGAAGGAAAGCGTCTCGAAATCTGCTGGCCCCTTCTTTCCCAGACTTCTTTTCTTCCCCTTTTTTCTATGTGCTTTTCAACTGTGTGTATAATCAGAGCCTTACGGTGTTTTCTGGAACACAAACAAACCTCCCAATCTACCTACCCTACCAATACTTCAGCCATAAATTAATGAAAGCACACTGTAGGAATCTAGAGTAATATGCTGATAAGCCAACGGCAAAAACGTTTCAAGCAAAAACGTCAAAAAGTAAGAGACCAGGGCATCTAATGGAATCGACAGCTGAATCTTTTACCTGTACCAGCCGGACTTCAATTGCCGGCCTAGTAGCCGGATCATGAGCCATCTGCAGTAATCTCTTGTGCATAAGCACGTCCTGCGCCCTCTCCGCGTTCACTTCCAGCGCGTATCTGCGGAATCGAGAAAAAAAATTAGAAATCACTGTAACCAGAAAAAAACAACGGACTAGTGAAGCAATAAACGACCGGAATTAGAAGATTCCTCGAGAAGCAACCATATAATCGGCGGAGGGAACTAATAAGCAGTTACCGGCGAAACCTAGAGGGGAAGCTCCGGCATGCAAAATGCATTTGGCAGCGACGAACAAACCAGTTCAAAATAACAAGTACGAAAAGAGTGAAGCCAGAATCCGTACGGTCTACGGTATCCCTGCTGTTGTGAGCTAGCCAATTTTGGTTGATCGATGAATATGGATACGGTTTGCAAACTGTCAGGGAGGAGGAGGAAAACGGAACGGAATCAAGAATCAAGCGGCGGAACGGAACATTACCTAGTGGGAAGACGGAGGAAATGATTCCAGAGCTCGTCTTCGAAGCCTGGAAGGCCGGATTCCTCGTCATTGGAGTTCGTAAGCCGGCGGAGGACTTCATTGTAGACCGCAACTTTCTGCCTCTGGTTCCTGCTCACCGCCGGCACGAAATCAACAGCTCTGCTGCTGCAGCTCTCCGTGTCTCCCATAGCAAACACATACAGAATCACAGAATCCAAACACTCCGCCGAAGAAACAAAAACAGAGGAGAGAAAACAACGATTCTGAAGAGTGATATTGTAAGCAGCGATCGGCAACGAACGCCGGCCGGCGATAGACGCCGTTCGCGTGATTCAGTTAGTTGCTTGAGGCGCTGAAAATTGCAGAAAGCTGGAAGAAAGGGAAATTTGGTCATGAGAGAAAGGAAGGAAGTAAAGCAGCCATGGCTGGGCTTGGCTAGCTTCTGTTTCCTCTTGTTCTTCTCTCTCTCTTTTTCTCGTGAACACAGGAAGGAAGGAAGGAAGGAGAACGTTAAAAGACAATGGCGTATTACGCACCCCAGTCCGGAAGCGCGTATCTACGTGGATTCTAACAATGCTTTTCCGAATTTTTTCTTAAACTGTTTGCTTTTGTTACGTCATCGCTTCAACTTTACCGCCCGAATTTTTATTTTCTTGCTTCCTATTTGTCAAGACCCGCGAAATTTTTAATATTATTATTCCGAATTTCAGTTTTTGTTTATGTTAATGGCGATTGTCTAATGCAGGAGGAGAGCTTATCCAACCAATCCAATATCCATAGATAAAATCCATTCAAGTTGAGTTGATGGAATCACACGACATCATCTCCTCGCTGATGGGAATCACTGGCTGTCTCATTTTCCCACTCAACAACTCCTTTTCCTCAATTTTCTGTTGTTCAATTCGCAATTTGGTTACTACTCACTACTTTGTAATCAAAACTTTTAATCAAGTTTCAAGTTTAGAAAACCAGTCTTTATCGGTCCACTTGAACACTCATAGCAATTAGTTTTCATTTAAGATCTTTATGGGCCTCTAGGTTACTTGCTTTCTACAAGATAAAACAAGCAAAAATCTCAGTTGAGTTATAAATCTTTAATTCTAACATAGATCACCGTGCAAGAGTAGGGGCGGAGCCAGAATTTAACCGTCGGGGGCCGAAGTTTAGAAAGTGTAATATATAGAAGAAAATATATCATAAAATATAATTAATATTTATATTTATTTATAATTTATTTGTAATATTTGAAATAAAGAAAATGCCAAAACTATTATTAGAAATATAAATTTAAAATTTGAAGAACATAATTAAGCTACTTCAAAATTACATGACTTGTAAAACAAATTATGAAAGTTAAATATGCTTCATGGTAAAACTAAATTAACAAGGTTAAAAAAATTAACATGGTCTTTGGTCACGCTCAATTAAAAAGGTTAAAGACAATTAAATATGGTTTTTTATCACAGTCAGTTAAGAAGGTTAAAAAATCAATAACAATTCGCTGCCAACAGGTTTGGAACTAAGACCATGAATGACAATAATCAACTTCTGCTCCGCTGGACTACACACAAATCTTATGCTTCATTATTGCACACAGTTTGTATTTATACTAATCTTCATTTTATACGTAATTCTTCAAACCTCGATAGAATTTTGTATGTGATTTCAAAAATCTCGGGAAGGGGGGGGGGGGGGGGGGGCGAAGCACCACCTAGCTCCGCCCTTGTGCAAGAGAGTGATACAAGATGCATAATTAACCTTCTCTAAAAAATTTAAGTTATTGGGAATAAGTGAGTTGTTCGTGAACATGATATCAGAGCTTTCTGTTACTGAGACGTCTTCTATTCGAATTTCGACGACCCTCTTTCATAAGCACACGATTTTCAGAATTGTGCAAACTTCAAACCCACATGAATTGAGTTTCGTTTGAGATGGAATGTTAGTAAATGCGATAAGATCCATAATGAGCATCTCCCAACAACTCAATTTATTGTAATCTATTAGTTTATGGCATGGTATCAGAGCTGTTTTGATCAAGTGGTTATGTGCTCGAATCTCCATGATCTCCTATATTAACAGTTGATTAAAAGCACAAGGTATGTTAGGCATGTGCAAACTAACGTAATAAATAACCTGTGATAAAAAACACATACAAGAAACCCGTTTTTCTCGGAAAAGACGGAGAGAGAATTGAGCATGCCACAGAGGCTCCAGGTGCATCTAGTGGTGGGACCTAGGTCCTAGGTCATTGGCACCACCTCGACTCTGCCTGACGACAATAGAAAAAATGATGTTGAGATGTTACGGGATAGTTCAGGACTAAATATTTTCTTATTATCAAGAAGCATATTGATTCGGGTCTATTTGTACACTTTTTACCCCCTTTATCCTTAGATGTTTGAAATACTTTTACTCCGTGAGGTTCGGTTTTAGGCTAGATTGTGGTTGTTTTTAGTATGTTTCAGATCCTAGTAGGTGAAAACAATCAATGGAAAAAAATTTTGACGAAAATCGGTCAAAAGGGAGCAACAGAAGCAGATCACGGTGGATGCCAGAAGTTCACGGTCATCCAGACCGTGAAGGGCGAGGAGTCCATAAGATTTTGTCCATCTCGCGGGCATAAACCAGTTCACGGTCACTCGACCGTGAAGACCAGCTCCAGACCGTGAACTCCCTTAATGAAATAGGGCATTTTTGCTCGACATCACAATCCAGGCCAGATGTTCACGACCGTGAACTGGGACCGTGAAACTCCATTGATCTGGGTATATAAAGGGGGCTGAGCTGAAGGAGAAAAGAGGAGGAACCTAGTGAGAGATACTTCGACGACTTCTTCTTCTTCTTCTTCTTCAAATTTCTAGAGTGAGAAAGTGACGAACAAGAGGAGAAGGGAAGTTAGGGTTTCATCCAAGAGCTAGGTTTTGGGAAGTTTTCCTCCAAAGGTTGATCTCCACACCACAAGGAAGAAGGCAAACATCTCTAAGTTGTTTTGTCTCTTCTCCCTTGGTATTCCCTCTATTTAGCATGGAGTAGACCTTTCTTTCACTTGGGTGTTTGTAAACCCTAGCTACAACTATGTGAATGTTTATATGAATTGAATGACTTGTGTGTGGTTGTGTTTTAACACAAATTATGAGGTATTTTCATGAAGATTGTGTCTGTGCTTGCATTTCCAATTCTTATGCCATTTTGACATAGGTAGAGGGAAATCCTCTTCTTGTTAAGAGACTTGTAAAAGTTGGAATTCCTTGGCCAATTGTGTCACCTATCTAGGTTGAATTAGGGAAAATCTATTAATATGTATTAGCACCTTTGGTAGGTTGTAATTTGGCTGTCCGAACTATAGTTCGAGGGTGAAGTAAGCAACCCTTAGTCGATTGGGTCAAGAGAGCTACCTTGGTAGCTTGATTTGATATCCCTTGGCCTAGAGACCGAGTGAGAGATGATTGTTCACTTGTTTCACTTTCCTACGGTTTACAACCGGCTTTACCATGCATTTGCATTCGATCCGACAAACCATGATTGTTAGCTAGGGGGAGCAACACCCAGGTGAGCTTCATCGCTAATGCTAGGAGGAACAACAACCTCTATAGCGACACTTACAACCCGAGGTGGCGAAACCATCTGAACTTCTCTTGGTCTTATCCCCCCCCCCCCCCCCCCCCGATTTCCAAGGAACAACGGGGAATTATCAAACAAGGCCTCATTTCATTCAACTAAGACCATAATTTCAAGGCTCGAACTTTCAACAACAATTCCAAGTGCAAGGTGGTCAAGGGTACCAACAAAAACAACCCGACAAGTTTTCAAAACTTGAAGACCTAGTTACCACCTTTGTGAGTACAAGCTCTCAGAAGTGTGAGAAGATTGACCAATTCATGGATGTAGCAACAACCAAGTTTTCTTCGGTTGAGGCGGGTCTAAGAAGTCATCAAGCGAGTCTTCAAAACTTGGAGACTCAAATTGGCAATCTTGCCGGGATCCTCACCGAAAGACCCAGGGGAGCTCTACCTTCCCAAACTATTGCCAATCCCAAAGATAAAAACGCCGGTGGCAAAGCTATTCTCTTGAGGATCGGGAAGGTAACTCCAGAGGTTGTTGCTAAATAAGTAACAGAAGAAGAGAAGACTCCTCCAATGGTTGATGATCAAGAAGGCACGAAAGGGGAGGAATAAGAGACTAAGAAGGCATCGCCAATGCTCAAGTGGCTGAGTACAAGCCTCCTCTTCCTTTCCCTACAAGGGTGCATAATGACCGATTGGAGGCGGAGTGTGGGAAGTTCATGGAGATGCTCACAAAACTCAACATTACCATGCCTTTCTTGGAGGCAAAGGCGTACATGACAAGGTATGCAAAATACCTCAAAGGGCTTCTTGCAAAGAAGCACAAGCTTGAAGACCTTGCCACCATCACTTTGGGCGAGGAGTGCTCAGCCTTTATCCAGAACAAGTTGCCTAAAAAGCAACAAGATCCGGGTAGTTTCACTATCCCTCTTTGCATTGGAGCATGTTATAGAAAACTCCTTGGCGGATTTAGGAGCAAGCATTAACGTCATGCCATTTAAGATTTATAAGATTGAACCTAGGTGAATTGAAACCCACTAGGTTAAGTGTTACCTTGGCTGACTGTTCGACAATTAGTCCTATGGGTATTGTGGAAGATGTCATAGTGAGGGTGGGCACATTCTGTTATCCGAAGAATTTCATTATCTTGGATATTAGTGAAGATGTGGATATGCCCCTCATACTAGGACGCCCTTTACTTTCCACCACCAAGGCGTTAATTGAAGTTAATGATGGTAATTTGATATTGAGAGATGCAGAGGAACAAATTACCTTTTCGATCGACACTAAGAGTAAGAAGGGTGATGTAAAGGAAATGGAATCGAAGGGTATGTTTGGAAGTGGAGGTTAGCCACTCAAAGCGAACCACACTAGTGATTTTGTTCTTTTGGATGATGTGAAACAGGTGCCTAAGGCGGGTACTAAACCCGAATGGAGGAAGAAGAAAGCGTGGCATGCTAAGATGAGCCACACCTTTACCCCAAAGAAGGACAAGGGTAAGGCGAAAGTACCCGGCCAAGAAGGCCACCCTTTGAAGCTTAAGATGGAAGGTGACAAGCCACACCCCGAGACCGTGGAATATCCACTCTCGAAGGCCTCTTGATCTCAAGGATGAAAGATCCGCAACGACGAGCTAGCAACGTTAACCTAGAGCTTGTTGGGAGGCAAGCCAATGTAGGTTTATTTTCTCTTCTTGTGATTGAGTGATGATTTCAAGTGGTTGAGCAGTGATCACTGTGCTAGAGTTGTGTGTCTACATGTTTTGAATGTGTTGTGAATGAGTTAGGGGCACGGTTGATTAGATCGAGTTTTGAAATTTTGGGAAATGCTATGTTTTTCACTAGTTCACGGTTTTAGCCCTATTATCACGGTCAGCCGACCGTGATAATGAGGTGGAGACCGTGAACAAAGGGC